CGTCCAGCCCCATGGACTTGTACAGATCCAGCTCTTCTAAATAGTCCCTAAAATGTTCTTCCACTACCGAGGGCTTCTCACCTCCTCCCCAAACTGTGCTGCCTGGTGCAGTAGTCTGGGAGATGATCTGGCCTGTGAAGACTGCGGCAAAGAAGGCATTGAGCACTTCAGCCTTTTCTGCACCCTCTGCCACAAGGTTGGCATTCAACTGGAATGCCCCATTCAGTAAGGAACCCACACTTTCCCTGATCCTCCTCTTGCAACCAACATACTTGTAGAAACCCTTCTTTTCCCCCATCACATCCCTTGCTAGCTGCAACTCCAATTGCTCTTTGCCCTTTCGGACTCCATCCCTGCATGCCCAAGCAATGCTCTTATATTCTTCCCTAGTTATTTGTCCAGGCTTCCACTAATGAGCTTCCTTTTTGTGTTTTAGTTTACTGAAGAGTTCCCTGCTAAGTCAAGCTGGTCTTCTGCCATACTTGCTAGTCTTCCTGCACATTGGGATGGTTTGTTCCTGCACTCTCAGTAAGGCTTCCTTAAAGTCCAGCCAGCTCTCCTGGATGCCTCTCTCCCTCAGTCTGGGACCCAGGGGATCCTGCTCATGAGTTCCCTGAGTGAGTCAAAATCTGCTTTTCTGAAGTCCAGAGGCCTTCCTCTGCTGCCCTCCATCCTTCCTTTCCTCAGGGTCCTGAACTCAATCATCTTGTGGTCACTGCTGCCCAAGTTGCCATCCACTATTACATTTCCCACCAATTCTTCCCTGTTTGTGAGCAGCAGATGAAGAAGAGCAAGGCCCCTCATTGGCCTCTTCAACACTTGCACCAGAAGTTGTCTCCAACACTTTCCAAAAGCTCTTGGATTGCCTGCGCACTGCTGTATTGCCCTCCCAGCAGATGTCTGAGGGATTGAAGTCTCCTGTGTGAACTACGACCTGTGAAGTGTAACACCTTAGATATGGCTTAGAACAGGATGCCTGTTTTGAGAAACACAAGGATATGTTTAGGGAGGCATGCAGGGGTTTTTTGTCATGTGCAGGCCATCTTTCCTGTATTCGGTGCCACTTTTACAGGTTTTACTTGCTGGGCCATTGCACTGGTGGTTTAATTCAGCCAGCAGCAAGAGACCGTGGAGTAAGGGGCAGAGTGTGACCCTGTGCTGGGTGTCTGTGCTCCCTGTTCCTTTATCTGTTGTCATCGCTGTCACCCTGCAGCTAACAACGGTTTAACTGTCAATGGAAATCCAGTCGAACACCTGCTATTTGGCTAAACATTAACTTATCCTCCCACGACCTTTCCAGTACCTTATTCTTACCAGTAACATAATAATCAAGGGTTTTCAAGCAGCATCCTCAGGCCTCCAAGCACTTTGGGCTTCAGCTGGTCCAGGCATTGCCCCTTTTTCTCTGGCCAACCCTCCTATGGTGCTCCCTGCCTAGGACAACAGGTCCTGGCCCTGCCTTGAGCCTACCTCACTTGGCTTGTGACCAGACCTTTGCCCTCTTGGCCCGAGCCCCATTCTGTGGCCTCCAATCCATACCTACAGCCACAACCCACCCTCCAGTCCAGTCCAGTCCAGCCCAACACAAAACAAAACAAAACACCCCTTCAGCAGTCCTAAACTCCATGGGAAACTACCGGGTTGGGGTCCCTATAGTCATTTCCTGGGCTGTCCCGACTCCACTCACAGCCAGGTCCAGGCACTCCTTGCCCTGCTGCAGCCAGAGCCCAACTGCCCCACGCCCAGAGGCTGTGCGTATCTGCCCAGCCCAGCCCCTGGCAGTGCCCTCCCTCCTCTTTGCCCAAGGCCCAGGGATGGCAGGGCTCGCTCAGCACCAGCCCGGCCTGGGCAGCCCCTGGGTCTGCTCACCCAGGCAGCTCCCACCTGCACCCCAGTCCCTCTGGCTCCCTGCAGCCTGCCTCCAGGTGTACTGCCATCTTGGCCAGGGCTGTAGCAAGGGAGTGGGAGCAAGTGGGGCGACTGCCCTGGGTGCCAAAGTGTAGGGGGCACCAACAGGTGCTGCCCAGCCAGGTTGGGGTGCAGGACTGAGCCACGAGTGGCTCATTTGAGAGGTGTGGGGAAGGGGGGAGGGTGGGTCTCAGCTCTGCATGCACTTCCAGCAAGCACGGGTTAGGATGTGGCCCCCCCGATCTCGGCATGGGGCTAGGGCAGGCTGTCGCTTTGGGGTTTGCCCCAGGTATCAAACTTCGGTGTTTCGGCACCGACCTCGACACAGAAACAGGGGGGTCCCTGCAACCAGGCCACATGTAGCCCCTCGACATCTAGCCACTCACTGTGTCCTGCAACAAAAAAACATGCAAATAAACCCTGCTTTCACCAGGAAACAACTAAACAAACAACACACCCACATCAGGTCCAGCTTCACGCTGCACCTTGGCCCTGCTCCCAGCGACATGGGGAAAGTGAAAGTACAAAGGGCCCAGGGATCCACGCTGCCTCGCAGGAGAGGAGATGGCGAACATGGGGGGATGGACAGACATCTGGGCTCTGCGTCTCGGGGGCCTGCTCCTGCCTCTGCTCTTCCTAGGGACAGCGGGTAAGCGCCGACCCCTTGCTCTGCTGGGCTGAGGGGTGCCAGGGCCGGGCTGCGGTGGCCCTGTTCAGCCCTGGTGCAGGGGCAGCTGGGGCCACCTTGTGAACACGCCTGGGACAGAGAAATCCTGGAGGCCCCGTGTTTGCAGACAGCAGCCTGGCTCAGGGGGAGACTTTCAGGACCCATAAGCAGGGGCATGTTGGGAGTGCTAATAACTACCACAGTCCACCAGAGGTGGATTAAGATTCACTGGAGCCCTGGGCCTGCCCCCACCGACCTACACCCAAACCCACAGCTGTGGACTCCATCCCTGCCCGGTGCTGTGGGAACAGCGGCTGGAGCAGGACATACTGGCCCCAAGCCCAGGGCAGGAACCACAGCCACCCCTCCCAGACGTCCGCACTGGAGCAGGGGCCGGGAGAACAGAGCTGCTGCCTGCCAGGTGTGGGCGGCATGGACCGAGCACATGGACTCTACAGGCAGCCCCTCACCCTGCTACAGCTCAGTCTGGCTGCAGCAGCAGTGCCCGGCAGCCATGTCCTGCGATGCCACACACGCCCGGCCCAGCTGCCAGTTTCACCTGCACCAAGGCAGGGTCCAGCCCTACCTATGGTCAGAGTGCAGCAGACACCCGGCCCACGCACCCAGCACCTCCCCCTAGGCACCAGGTCCCAGGCTCCCAGCCCCGCGGGCCTCACAGCTACTTCTTCTCCCCTGTGCAGGTTCCCAGCTGCAGGTGACCACGGCGCCCTCCTCCTGGGCCCACCTGGGCTCGCGATCCTTGCTGCAGTGCCGGTTTGATGTCGGGGGGCCAGTGGCCCTGGACTTCCTGAGGGTGCAATGGTATATTGGGGAGCATGTGGTGGCCTGCTACAACCAGGGCAGGATCCAGGCCCAGCCCGGAGCCAGTCTGCCATCAGAGAAAGAGCTGGAGACAGGAGATGCCTCCCTGTCACTGGCTGTGGTGACCCCATGGGACAAGGGCGTGTACAAGTGTGTCGTGTGGCACAGGGACCAGGAGCACCAGGGGATGACCACCCTGCACCTGCTTGGTGAGGATCAGACCAGGGCTCCCGGGATGGCCACGGTTGTGCCTATACCTGGGCTGGATGTGGGCAGAGGCAGCACATGCACACAGACCCAAGACACCATGGGTCTAATTGCCGTGGCTCTGTCCAGCCCTGGCCATGGGCAGGGCCCTTGGCCTCACTCCAGAAGTCCTGGGAAGCCTCATGCTGTGGGCATGCTGACAGCCATTGAGTGCTGCCTGGGAGAGGAAGGGGACTTGCTACCAGACACGCAGCCAGCACTGCCATCTGCCCTCTGACCAACCCAGACCTTCAGATGCACACGGGCCTGGCAATGCCTGCATGTGGGTGTCTGTCAATGGAGCACTGGGGCTGACACACGGCCCAAGCCCCACGTGGCCTCGGTGGCTCAATGCCAGATGGAGCTGGCTGAGAGACTGACACCTGCATCACCCCAAGCCCCAAAGCACACGGTGACTCTCTCCTTCCAGCTGCCCCGATGATCTCCATCCTGAGACAACCTGCTGAGGCTGACACTGAAACCTCCCTCCTGTGCCACGTGGGGGGGTTCTTCCCCGAGGATGTGGACGTGGTGTGGCTGAGAGACGGGCAGGTCCTGAAGGGCTTTCCCTGCTCCAGCCCCCAGAGGAACCTGGACGGGACCTTCACCTTCACCATGACCTACACCTTCACCCCCACGCACAAAGATGCTGGCAGTGTCTTCTCCTGCCGTGTCCACCACATGGCCCCGAGGCAGCCACTGCAGGAGGACATCCCCCTGGATATCGGAGGTGAGAGCATGTGTGGGAAGCTGCCTGCTGCCCTGACTGTGGACATGAGGCAATTTCCTTGCCCCCTCCCAAGGTAGCACAGAGCTGCTGTAGGCCAGCACGCAGGCAGCTCTGAGCTGCAGACCAGCATGGTTGGGGGCTGCATTAGCCAACGGGAATGCTCCTTCCCTCCGGGAGGATAAGGAGCACCAAGGAGCAGAGGGATACTGGCCTGGAGACTACTGCGTCCTGGTCCATGCATTCCCAGTGCATGGCCAGCTGCAGGAATCCCCAGAATCCCAGAACAAAACTTGACCCACGACTTCAAGGGCAGCAGCTTAGCTTGGGTACAGTGGATGCCACTGCATGTGTCAGAGCTGAGCTTTGCCTTTTTTCTCCTCCAAGTAGGGAGCACAGAGGTGGATCACACCAGCACCATGATCAGCGCTGTCCTGGGAATTGGCATCATAAATGGAATTGTGGTCATCATAATCATGAAGCAGAAGTCCAGGTCCAGTGGGCAACTTCAGCTCCAAGGTGTGATCATGCAAACCGGGCAGTGCGGGGGAAGGCTAGGGTGCTGATGCCCAGGTGCTGCAGCAAGTCATGGGCATATTTGATTCAGCCACCCTGGGTGTTCAGGGGAAGGCAATGAGTGCTCTCAGCCCAAAGGGGCTTGGGAAACAGGGGCTCCTGTTATGGCCAAGTCACATGCAGTGACACATGTGTCAAAGGCTCTGGGGTTGCATTAGTTAGCAGTTATGCTCCTTCCCTCCTGGAGGAGCAGGAGCACCAAGCAGCAGAGGGAGGCAGGCTTGGAAGGGCCTCCTGGGCTGCTGCGTCCTAGCCTAACTTATTTAACTAGGCTAACCTATTTAACAATTACTTTGCCTCCATTTTCCTCAACAGGGACCAGATCAGCCTGTCTGCTGGTACTCCCTCAGGCCCCGGGGGAGGTGCACGCAGGCCCAGGGTCAGTGAGGACCTAGTCAGGGAACTTCTGCAGGAACGGGACGTATTTAAATCAGTTGGTCCTGATGATCTACACCCCCGAGTGCTGAGGGAATTAGAGGTTATTGTGGGATCCCTGGCATGGCTTTATGAGCACTTGTGGTGCTCTGATGTGGTGCTGGAGGAGGTGGTTCCCATTTTCAAAAAAGGGAGGAAGGAGGACCCAGGAAACTATAGGCGAGTTAGTCTTAGCTCGATCCTGGGGAAGCTTTTTGAGATTTATCCTGGTGCATGTCCACAAGGGGCCGGCAGGGGAGGTTATGCTTAGAGGCAGCCAACATGGGTTCATTCGAGGCAGGTCGTGTCAGACCAACCTGGTGGCCTCCTACGACCAGGTCACAAAATCCTTAGATGCAGAGGTAGCAGTGGATGTAGTCTTTCTGGACTTCAGGAAGGCCTTTGACACTGTCTCTCACCCCGTTCTCATTAAAAAACGAGGGGACTGTGTTGACAACACCTACACAGTCAGATGGGTCACTAGTTGGCTGGAGGGTCGCACCCAGAGAGTGGTGGTGGACGGGTCATTTTCGACCTGGAGGGATGTGGGCAGTGGGTCCCCCAGGGCTCGGTCCTCGGGCCCGCGCTGTTCAACATCTTCATCAGCGACTTGGATGAGGGGGTAAAAAGCACCCTATTCAAATTTGCTGATGACATTAAGATGTGGGGGGATGTGGGCACGCTAGAAGGGAGGAATAGGCTGCAATTGGACCTAGACAGGTTACAGGGGTGGGCAGATGAGAACAGGATGGTTTTCAACACTGAGAAGTGCAAGGTGCTGCACCTGGGGAGGAAGACCCAGCAGCAGACCTACAGGCTGGGGAACTCCCTTCTCATTAGCGCAGAGGCAGAAAAGGATCTTGGAGTCATCATTGATGCCACAATGAACATGGGCTGACAGTGTGGGGACGCGGTCAGGAAGGCCAACCACACCTTGTCATGCATCCACAGGGGCATCACGAGCAGGTCTAAGGAGCCAATCCTCCCCCTCTATGCGACGCTGGTGAGGCCGCAGTAGGAGTACTGTGTCCAGGTCTGCCACACTTCAGGAGGGATGTGGACAGCATGGAGAGGGTCCAGAGGAGGCCACTCGCATGGTCAGGAGGCAGCAGGGCAGGTCCTATGAGGAGAGGCTACGGGACCTGAACCTGTTCAGCCTCCACAAGAGAAGGCTGAGGGGGGTCTAGGAGTCATTTAC